AAAAAAAAAAAAAAACGATTTTGTCCTCATAATGCGGAGCAACATGCTCCACATTTGCGCGGAGCATTGTAGTTGCTCAGCATTTTTTGGAGCACATTTCTTTTTTGCAATTTTTATTTTTAAAAATTTTTTACTTTATTCCATATATACGTAAAATCAAAATTTATTTACTGTCTTCGCACCCGGGCCGTTTTTTTCATTAACTTCATACATATATGAAAATCAAAAATTTATTTCGTGTCTCCGCACCCGCGCCTTTTCATTTCTTATTTTTCATTAAATCTTTCTATGATTAAAAATTTGAAATACAATCTCCTATTTCATCTTAACATTCCAAACGCTAATATTGGCTTAAAAATAACACAATGCACGGGTAAAAACTAGTTTTACAATAAAAGAATAAATAAAGATGATATTCATGTAACGAAAATAGTACAAAGTAGCAATTTTTTTTTAAAAACGATAGCGAAATATAAAAAAAAATTCTATCGCAAATTTGTCACTCAACTAATAATAATATCATTAAAATAAATTTTTAAGCGTCCAACCAAAAAAAAAAAGAGAGAAAAAAATGCAATACACCAAAAGAGATCTTCGAGGCTATGGATATAATCAATCAATTGATGCTGTGAATATAATCTATCAATCAATCACGATTACGATCCTTTAATTAGAAATTTCTCATGTTTGATTTGATCACATAATGTCACGTAGCACTCGATCATTTATCAGTTTAAAATACAATCAATTTTTTCATTTACTATTTTCCCTTCATATCATTTTATGTAATCATTTATATACCATTTACGTACAAGTATAATCTTTTTTCTATTAACTTGCCTATGGTGATAATGACATTGCCTTTTGCACTTAAAATCTTCATACAAAATTAACTTAATTAGCTTTTTCTGATTTGCTTGATTATGCTTAATAATAATCTCATCTCTACCTTCCTAAAGTTTCTTATCCGGGAACTCCGCTTATGACGTCGAGGTGACGCCGTCAACGTGGAATCCGAATTCTTAAATAAGGAATTATTTACTCTCTCTCCTCACCACCACGGCTCCCTCTCTCTCTCTCTCGCACACATGCAGATAAGCCCTTGCTCTCTCTTCCCTGACGAAGATTCTGTAACAAACAAAACGCGCAAACTCGCAGGAAAAAGCCTCGTAGAAACCCTAAGAACACGGCAAAACTACAAGGCGTTGCTTGCACGATCTCTCTCCCCCTCTATAAAAGCTAAAGGATAAACAAAAAGAAAGTAGAGATGGAAAAGGTGGGTTCTTTTTTATTATTCGGCTTTCTTAATGCAATAGTATTATTAGTTATTGATTATTCCTTATTCAATCCTGTTTTTTGTTAATACTTTTCCTTCGGATTGTGGTAAGGCAGATGTATAAATAAAGGTGATAAGAGTCTGGAAGAAGAAGGGAAGAGAAAAGGTACGCATATTTCTTTACTATCGTTTTTCCTCTTATTAAACGCGGGATACAAAAGACGTTCATTCTGCTGCATAAAATTATTGGTTATGGGATTCTACGAAATGGGTTTGTTGCAAGATTGGATTTTGATAGTGCTTGCATCTGTTGGTTGATTTTTGCTTGGTTTTCACAGAATTTTCTCCTGATAGATTTTCTGTGGGGTCATCTTCGATTGGCGATTTCCCAATTTAGGGGGGGAAATAGATTAAAAGGTTTGATATCAATCTGTTTTTCTTTCTTGTTTTGTTTTTTATGATATTTCTTTGCTGATAAAATTAGGTACCTTTTGGAAGTTGATGGTTAATTGATAAAGAAATTTGGGCAAGATTACATATGGTGATTGCTTAGAATTTTTAGATTCGAAGTTTTTTGAAGGGACCACGAAATGTCAGCAATATGAATTAATATTTCTGAATTTAGTTTTTCGTCGTCAAATTGTTAAGCTTAAATTGAAGTTTTATTTCTTTCACTTCTATTGAATAACAATGGGAACGACCAGTTTTCTTCACCAATCACTTCATTTTCAAGCTCTCGTTTTCTTGCTTTTGTAGATTCGTGAACGGTTTAGGTTGGGGTGGAGGATTGCTTGAGATGAACGATTGCAATGAATGACTAGTTTGATTTTATTTGTTTGAAATTGAAGGCAGTGCATATTTTGTTATACTGTTGTTTAATCTCCACCTGTATTTGTCTTTGTAAAGCCGTGCTTGGCATTTGTATTTTGTTTACTATATAATTCTTCAGTGGCATCATATAGTGGAAGCAATTCTCTAAAGCAATCTTCGTGATGGATCCACTTTTGCATCTCTTCAAATTCCATGTAGGCGTAACAATTGCAAATTTCAAGCCGAGTGCCTTGTTACTCCATAATGCAGTTTTGCACTTTTGAACTTTGGCTCCTGGGAGGGGCTGAGGTGCATTATGGTCAATAGTAACATTGCTTCTATTGAGAACAACTAATTATAGGAAATGCATGATAGAAATGGAGTATTTTACTTCCAAATTGAGTTCCTTCCAGAGATATTTTCTTACATGACGCGATTTCTTAAACAAAATTGACAGTTTAATTAGTGTCATCTGTGGTTAATATAAAACTTCTGTTTTCAGATTTTGGTTTTACAAGTTCTTCCCAATTTCCATTTTGATGGCTGAAGGAAGCACCAGTACGATTGCAACTCCAGAAAAAGTTGAATTTCACGGGAGAAACATGGGCAAAATCTCTTCAGGAAAATCAAGTTTTCCAAATAATGGAGGCAATGTTTATTCCCAACACCGTAGAGCATCCCTAGGAGCGTACTATGCTAGAGAAAGTATGAGAAGAAATTCTATAGAGAAACTAGATTCTGCAAACAATTGTCAAAAATCGGTTCCCCATTATCTCAGAGCATCCACAGGTTCTTGCCATGATTTCTGTAAATATGGCAGGAAACCTGCATTTGAAGCAAAGGAAAGGCGTAGTATACCAAAGAGAACAACCAAACCTCCGTCCAGTGAGCAAAATTCTGTAGAGAAAACTGTTTCAGGGGAGCAAAAGAAGAAAATAATTGTCAATCACAAGTCTCCTTCAGGTACCAAATCCCGTTTGCCAGAGCATAAGCCCAAGCCATCCTTGTCTACCAAAATGTACTCCGCAGAGAAAAAGGCATCACCTGGTTATAATATCCATATGCGAAGGCACACGCCTTCACCATATACCCCTGAAATTATCAAGCGGGAAATCATGTTTCCATCTAAAAATGTTGAAGTCCCACCAAAACAAGATTCCTCAATTGATGATAAGGTCCTGGAGAGTGAGAAGAAGACAGAGAATGCGTTCAACAAGCATTCTCCATCAGCGAAGTTGAAATCTGTAACGGTAAGAGTATTATCTTCCCCTAACACTTCAGATGGTATTCATGGAAAAGGAAGAAGAAATAATGATATTAAAACTAGCGGAAAGATGTTGGCTTCCATAGCATCTGTAAAGAAAGATTTGGCTCCTCTGCCTGCTTCTGCGGCCCCCAAAATCTCCCTCCGTAGAACACCATCCTTGAAATCGAGAAAAATCATAAGGTCAAAAGTTATGTCTCCTTTAAAGGATCGAAATATAATACACAAGGCTCAGATTGAGGGCTTAAGCGACGAGAAGATTCCCGAGAAAACCTTGCATGTTATCAGGACAGATCGTCCTGTCATTCAATCACGTTCATCTCCATCAACAATTGTGTCTTCGTCGGTTGCAAAATCACCATCGTTATTGTGTCATGAGGAGGAAGAGGCTGATTATGATGAAACTGAAGTAGATGAATTGATCTCTGACTGCAATGACACTGCAGAAGTTGGCAAAGTGAAATTGGTGAAAGAGAAACACATTAAGGTTCTGAGGAAGAGTACAGAGGTTGGTTCTGAAGATAGAGACAGCACTCCTATGAAATTAAATTTCAGGAGGGGGAAGGTAGTGGACCTTAAATCTGATAATAACAATCCTAGGAGACTCAGATTTAGAAAGGGAAGAGTTTTGGCAGAAGACCAAGACGGCAAGGGTGATTTTAGAAGGAAAACTTTTAAAAATGGCATGGTCAATGATGATAAAAATGATGCAGATCCTTCTTCCAAAAAGATCGCTTTAAAGCATCAAGACGTGCAGGGGAAGAGAGATTTACAAGGTTTGTTTAATAATGTCATTGAAGAAACAGCAAACAAGCTTGTCCAAAGCAGAAAAAGTAAGGTTAAAGCCTTGGTGGGTGCTTTTGAAACTGTGATCTCTCTCCAAGAGTGTAGACCTCCTTTTCATGATGCCAATTAAGTGTCAAGCGAACTTCCCATAATGTTCTTGACATTGTAAAGAAATGTAGGAGAATAAGAAAAGCTTGCGATACGAGGAGTAAAATTCGCATGATTAAAATAATTCTGATACACATGTAGATTTCATCAGTTGAGGTAAGAATTAGAAAGCTTGGGCAACCTGAGAGTAGTGTATGCTCATCTGTGACTGGTTCTGATGTGGTTTCATAGCCATTCCTTGAAGGGTATGTTTGTTCTTTCTTCTTTCTTACATTTAAGATGGAAAGGGGACAAAGAAAAATGATTTCTTAGCTTTTTAGCCCCATAATCTTCCATCTGTAGTTTCTTCAGAGATTTCTCTTCCCCTAGGGATGAGCTTTCTTGGCTTCACTCTAGAGTCCAGGGGGACGTCTAGGACTGATACATATGCTTCTCCTCTAGATCCTGAAGATGAGCATCTTGGGTCAGGTGGTGGGATGTCCTCAGCAAAAATGAGAGATGAATCAGAAAACTAAGAGTTATTGACAGTTGAAATGTATTTCTTTCTTTGAGTTGCAATGTTCCTTGTGCAATGTTTAATAATGTCTTCCTACTTACCTATCAAAAAAATAATAATGTCTTCCTACTGATCTAATAATAGGTTTTGTGTTGTTACCTTAAGACAATTTATTTGACCTTTTGGTTGCTTAAATTGTGTTCAAGAGGGCATAATTTGCATTTTACTGATTTTAGCATGCGTAGATTGTGTTTTAAAAGGGTAAAGATACCGCAATTGACTTAGTGCATCGTGTTGAGACGCTTTATCAAGTAAAAAAGTAAAAGTACAAATGTTATATACTTGCTCGTGCACATTTATCCGTTCGTAAAAACTACTTTATCCATTGATATTCTTGAATTTTTCACAAATACCAGCAAATTGTGCGCACAGTGTTGAAAAGGTGAAAGGGTAAAGCAGCAAAAGTCAAAACATATTTTGTCTTGCTTAAATCAAACTTATATACATGTGTATGTTTGATACTCTTTAATTTATTTTATGATTTGGTACATGTTCATTTTCAACTACACATTCACACAATATAATATTTTAAGCATATATCAAAAACTTTTTCCCTATTTTTTAACTACACATTCTTTTAAAAATTACTATTCAAATTTTTTTTTTTCCTATCAAAATGGTTGTCGGACATGTATTAAAAGTTCAGCAAACATTTTTCTATAAATGGGTCATCATATTCAGTTTGGCCCTCATTTTTAAAAATTATTTTTTCCAAACTCATTTTCAACTATATATTTTATGGGATTCACAAATTTCATCAATTTTTAAGTAAATTTCATCAAAACTAAAAATCTGATTTTATCAAAACCAAACAGCTGTAGCAATAAGGTATTCTCTTTAATAAGCTGATGGGCCTAGGAAATTACTAGCCCGAATTTGAGGGGGGAACAATACATAAATCATATATATAAGAATTACATTTCAAAAATAACAAATTTCAAAAATCTTTTCAAAAATCAAGTGTTAAATCAATTAATTAAATATTTTTAATTATAATATAAAACAATTACCCCAATTTATTAAATTTCAAATCCAAATCATTGTCTTTCTCTCTACTCTATATCCTCTCCCTACCCCTTCTCTCCATCGGAGGCGACCATCTACTCTGGCGGCCCCTCCAGTGACAGTTTCGGTGATCGCTCCGACGACTCAAAAATTTCCAGAAAATTAAAATTGGAAATCACACCGCACCCCCATGGATTTACCTACCACCACCCCATCCCTACCCCCACCTCCTAAAAAATTATCGAAAAAATTTCAAGTCACTTTATATAATCAAGCCAATGACACGCGTCATCCATGACTAATTGTGACCAAATTTGTGTTTAGTGTGACTGTCTGTGACCAATTGAATCTTAATTGTGACTGTATATGACCAAGTCACAACTAACACAAAATCGGTCACAACCAATCACAATCGGTCACAATTAACACAAAATTTGATGAAAAGTGTCACTTGCCAATATTTGACTTTTTTAAGAACCCTTTTTTTTCTTAACTATGCTACTTAAATGTGCATTGGGGTTGATGAAATGGGGGTTTGGAAGTCAAACCAAAAAGGCCTAGCATTTTGATGAAATCATAAATTGTCACCTTCACTGCATGCAGTAATTATGTATTTAGAAATTGAATGAGTGCCATTTTTTGTGCTAATTAGATCCAATAATAATGCTGACTTGTAAATTTATTGCTGCAAATTAAAAAATTGTTGCCATCAACACTACCGTACAGCAATCCTTACCCCGCCACCACAACACAACGCGGCACCACCACAATACCAATAATACCACTGTGGCACGACGAATACCGTCACACCACCACCACCAATCTCAATCATCATCACAGTAAGCATCATCACCACCATTCGAAATCCACCACCTACCAACCATCACAAAAATCACCTCAAAACACCGCCACAACAACAGATCGATCACCACCATAAAATCGATCCAAAATCAAGCTAAACACCAAATTGGATTCAATCCAAAATCATCCCAAAATTCATCTTCAAACTATCGCGGAGATGCTGCTGTGGCTTCCAACGAAGCTACTGTGTCATAGCCCGTCGTGCGTTGGCGGTGGTCTCTTAGCGTCGGTCTCTCCATGGTGACTTCAGTTCCGGTGGGAAATGAGAAGAGGGAAGCGGATGGAGAGGGGTGGAGGGTGGGGGGTGAGGAAAATGATTTTAAGGGTTAGGGTTAATGTTTGGGTTGGTTGATTATGTAAATTAATTTATTTTTATAATATTAAAAAAATTAAATTATCACCTGATTTTGTTATACATAAACCTGATTTTGAATTGTATAGTTTATAAGTAGGATTTGAGCTAATTTTCCCATTTGAGGGAGAGGAGTGGGCTGGTGAATAAAACTAGTTGGGCCATAATAGTCTTATGATTCACCGGGCAAATTCAGTGGCCCAAACATTTAATGGGCTCTGAAAGAAGTCCAGATCAGGAAGAGTAGGTCCAAAAGGCTGTCCATTAATGGTGGCAGGTTTATTTAGGTGAATTTTCTGAACAGCCTCAAATTTGGTTTGTTTCGAGATTTTTTTCTCCAGTCTAATCTTAAACTCTATTTCTCTGATGAAACTCTCCTGCCTCCATATCCATCCACGGATTCAGCTTTAAGTTGTTTGCATATGTAATATTTTCGCAGTTTTGAGGTAAAAAATTGTTCTTGTTCAGTTCTTTGATCTGTCAAAAGAGCTGCAATATTTAATTTTAGCGGTACAACTGTTCGTTAACATTCAGAACATGTCCACGAATTCTAATCTTTATTAAGGTAATAAAAGTATTCATTTTCTGCATTTAACGTCAATATGGTAGTGATAGAGGTACTCAGAAGTCCACTTGCAAGTATTATTTCATTAGATGGATATAACCACCAACATGAATTTTATGGTAGTTCAAAAAGGAATGATTTTAGAACCCAATTTAAGTGTATGAATTGTAATTGGGAATCAAAGGCAAAGAAAAGTTTCGCTAGAATTCACGGCCGTATTGTGATGGCCCTAGCTGAGGAGTGTGGCATTTTGCCTAGAACTCCAAACCGAAAAATATCAAGAACGAGGTTGTTGAATGAACCAATGGAAATGGATAATTCAGGCACTATTCCTAATAAGGTTGCTAGGGTTGAGTTTGAGTCAGTTTGTGAAGAAAAATGGATGCCTGTTCTGAAAGAGAATGGGGATGTTAGTGAAAATTGTACACAGCAAAAATCGCCACCGTGGGGTAGTTTAGCTGATCAGAATTTGGGTGTTCAGAATGATGGCGATAGTCCTTTGAGAGTTTCGAAAGGGGAAATGGACCTGATCGATGGATTATATTACTTGGAGGAAAGAGATGAAGAGATATTATCAAAAAGGATTTTGAACCTCAGCAGATTAAATAAAGTCAGAAGCGTGTTAGAATTGTACATGTCAATGGTGTTTTCTGGTTTGCTTCCAGATTTCCACGCCTCTAATTCACTTCTCTCCTGTCTCTTGAGGAATGGAAAACTCGATGATGCCTTGAAAGTTTTCGAGTTTATGAAGGTGAATGAAATGCTTACAGGCCACACTTATAGTTTGGTTCTGAAAGCAGTTGCCAGTTCTTGGGGTTGTGATGCGGCATTAAACATGTTTGAGGAAGCGGAAAGGGATGGCATAAGCAAGAAATATTTCGATGTAGTTGTTTATAACACGATGATATCAATGTTTGGAAAAGTTAATAACTGGGTTCAGGCCGAGACAATGTGGAGAAGTTTGCTAGATAATGGTCTTGTAGGGACGGTAGTCACATATCGCCTCCTTGTTTGCATATTCGTTCGTTGTGGTCAACACGAACTAGCACTTGATGCATACCAAGAAATGATTAGGAATCAACTAAGTCCAAGTGATGATGTAATGCAAGCTATTATTGGAGCGTGTGCAAATGAGGGGAAGTGGGACTTGGCACTAAATGTCTTCGAGAGTATGTTAAACAGTGGGATGAAACCAAACCTAATAGCATATAATGCTTTAATCAACTCACTTGGGAAAGCCGGCAAGGTTGAACTTGCATTTAAGGTCTTTGATACCCTGAAATTGTTGGGACATGCACCCGATGCATACACATGGAATGCACTTCTTTGTGCATTGTACAGGGCAAATCGACATGCGGATGTTCTTCGGCTTTTTGACAGTATTAGACGAGAGCACAACTCTGTTCTGAATCTACATATATATAACACTGCTTTGATGTCTTGCAAGAGGCTTGCATTATGGGATAGAGCACTGCAGCTACTGTGGCAGATGGAAGCTTTTGGATTCTCTATTTCGACTGCATCATATAACCTTGTCATTGGAGCTTGTGAGGCTGCAAGAAAGCCAAAAATTGCATTGCAAGTTTATGAGCACATGGTTCAGCAGAAACACTCTCCGGACACATTCACTTTATTGTCACTAATGAGAGGCTGCATTTGGGGTTCTCTTTGGAATAAAGTAGAGGAAATCCTAAATGTAAGTGTATGCATATCTTGTTACACATTTTCTGTTTATATTCCTTTCAATATTTCCTTTCAATATTTTGAATCCAAAGTTTTTGGTCAGTTTTCAAGACTCTGACAAGAGGTGTGTTTTAATAGAAATTTGATTACTGGTTTATACAATATTTTACTGGATCTTAGAAATTGTTTCTCTCTACTTTGAAGTAGAATGCTGATTTCTCCAGATATGAAACACTTAATGGAAAATGTTACCCAATATGCTTATCATATCTTGCAGAAAAAAACTATTTCACGAGATTTTGACTGATCGGGATCCTTTTATCGTGTGTGTGTGTGTGTGTATATTTTATTTTTTTCACTTTGACTTTAATACCTTTCCTTCTATATATTCATAGTGTTGTGGGAACAGGGAGAAGAAAGAGGGATCGGGGAATAGGCTGCAATTAGATTTGTTTTCATGTTCATTTATAGTTGTGTGCATTGACACTGCTCCTTCACTCTAATGATGTTTACTTGTGATGCAGCAATCTGAACCAAATGGATCTCTATATAATGCTGCTATTCAAGGTATGTGTTTAACGAGCAATACGGACTTGGCCAGAAAACTATACATCAAAATGCGTGAGCTTGGCCTCAAACCTGATGGAAAAACGCGGGCTTTAATGTTGCAGCACTTACCGAAGGATTGAGTGGAAAAGGTTTCTGGAATTTCCTTTGGTTAACATAACAATTGCAAATGAAATTGTCATTACCATGTTAAATACGTGATTCCTTCGAATTATCTTCCGATGGTCAATTTTAAAGGCTAGACAGAGATGATTTACAATCATGTCTGTGAAATACCTATTCCTATAGTCGTCAAACGTTTATCTAGTCACAGTATGCAGCAGAGAAAACCATCAGGTTGGTTTCGACTTGTCTACAGATTCTATTCCTTTTATAACATGGTTATTTTCTGCATCTAATCTTATATTAGTTTTTGAATAATGTGTAAAACTACTACAGATTTTGTGGCAAGGAAAGCTCGACACTGCTCATGAAGCTCTGTATCCTTGTGTCTTTCGAATGGTTCTTAGGGAGAGCAGCAGATCACTTTGCTTTCTTTGTTTAGTTATATAGGAAACAATTTACAATGCTTCAAAACATGGAAGCAAATAATAAATGATTTCAACTCATTTCTTTCATCAAATCAGCTTATTCTGTGAACCACACTGGTCTATAAAGGATTGAAAACACTGTAGTGCTTACATGGTTCTGGAATAGGAAAATGCTTATTGTACATAACTATTTACATAATATTTTGTGCTTGTTTGGAAGCAATGTTTGCTTGATTTTAATAAAAAATTTGACTGTTGCCAACTGCCCTTTTTGACTTCTTCCTCACATTGGTGGGCCCCAGGTTGCTTTTTAACGGTCAAAAAATAAGTAACAGACATGCGCTTTTTATAATGATGAGGTGTCAAAATATAAGTGGGGGCGTTATTGGATTGATGAGATTTTGATCCAATTAAATCTCGCTACATCATTCGTTGGTAAATTATTATGTAAGTTATTATGTACATATAGCACAACCGTCGTGAATAGGGTTAAAGAGTAACACTATTTAGCTGCAAAACACCCGTACTGGAGTCCGCTGCCTACAATTGATTAACATAGATAATTACAAATTTTAATTAATTGTAAGTTAAAAACCCCAATGCCACTTAGACTAAGTACTGAACATCATTATTCAGGATTAAATTACAACCACTCCTCGTTCCACCCTTTAAGCTACTAAGGATAAAATAAATTAAAATTTCCCCCCTGTGAAAAAGTTAGATACCTACTCGATACTTGCACGAACTCTTTTTATACGAGTGTCATTTCAAGATATGTACTATAAATTTTAGTATGCTTTGATCTTAATATGGGATCCACACTGCCCAACGGTTAAATTCTACATCAAGAAGACATGAAAATGGGTTTGGAACTCGTTTGACATGGTTTTTGGAAAGTAAAAATGAAACCCAGGAGATGCTTTTTGATCTATTTGATTAATTTTATAAAAGTATCTCTTCTAATTTGAAGAGATTTTAGAAGAGACGGGTTCGATGTAGTTTCCTCTAAGAGCTCTTCCAAAAGTTAGAAATACTTTCAGAAATCAATTTTCAAAAACAAATTAAGGTGGAAATTCTTCTACTAGTAGTAGAGCACAAATAAAAATCATGTCAAACAAGCCCTTATGTGACTAATAGCAATTGCATGATTCCAAGGAGTTCAACTGCAGCATCGGTCACCTGAATCTTCATCTTCTGATCTGCTATCCTCTTTTGCACTCGATCCAACTGTCAAAAAACCCGATAGGGATTAGCTTCATTAACTATATGTATATAAAATATTAAGAAACAACAGCTTAACCTAACCGCCATTGAAGAACTTACCTATAACCTGACAATACTGCTTATCTGTTCACGGTCTAGAGGCTGGAATACAATGTATTCATCAACACGGTTCATAAACTTGGGGCGGATAATTGATCTTGCAGACTCAATTACCCTCTGCTTTATAGTTTCATAAGCCATCTCCTTAGGCAAGGTGTCACAATCTGTGTTAAGTATATACTGTGAAGCCATATTTGATGTCATAATGACTACAGTGTTGGTGAAACTCACAGTGCAACCCTCTGAGTCAGTTACTCTACCATCATCCAGGATTTGAAGAAAAGAGAGAAAAATATATTTATTTGTTAATTTGGTGAGTGATCTTACTGTTGGAGCCCCATTTTTTGTGTATAATGCAATTTAGAATAGTAGATTGATGAAGAAGGTGTAGTTAAAAAATAAGGAAATTTTTTTATTTGCCCGTAATGTAATGTGTGGTTGAAAAGAAAAGAGAGAAATATATTTTGAAAAAAATGAGGATTAAATAAAGACGAAGATGGAACTTGCCATCTATCTTGAACAATTTTTATTTTTTTTATTTTTTTTATATTTTTGATGTAACTTAACTTTTGAAATAGAATTATGTAAGAAACTCGCATTAGTAATTTAAAAATCTTACTTGTGGAATTAATCAAATCAAACCGAAATTGTTCAATTCAGTTCCATAATTACAAATGAGACAAATGGTTCCCTTCTAAGATAACTGTTGATTTTCAATTCGATTCAAAAACGAACCAAATGACGTCCACCCCTACTTTTAACTGAAATTCAAGTATCATCCTTGAAGCTTTGATGACATGATATGGCACGGTTCAACTGTGTTTAGTCTCACATCTTCAGTCGAACTTTCGCTAATAACAATTTGAGATCGTTGTATACTTTTAATAGAGACTAAAAGCTAAGTTGAAAAGCAGTTAGGATTGGACAATGAGAGTTCAACTCATGGGCTATTTATATATTATTTCTTCGAATTAGTCTATATGTACACATTGTGGTGTACACAATGTTTCACACCTCCCTCACATGGAGGGAGGCCCACAAATATTTTATTGTGTGTGGCCCCCCTCTGTGTGAGGGAGGTGTGAAACATTGTGTACACATAGCATTTCCTTATTTCTTGTGCAAATAATGCTTTCCTTCATGTCCTGGTTTATTAAACATCAAGACTATACTTGCACAAATATTCCATTGTCAAAAAAGTCGTAATGCCATGTTTTATACGAGGTTTCTTGCAAACCTCCAAGAAAAAAAAGCGAAGTGGTGCCTCGTTTCTATGGAGATGGTTGTTAAAGCGAATTCAGTGCATATTTGGCTAAACATGTTATTCTTTACTTTACTGTCAAAATAAGTAACTTCTTACTTACAAGAAAAATGTTCCACGACTTGCCTATCACAACAGTATCCTTAGTTTTGGCTCTTCACAAAGAACTCTTCATACTTGATCAAGAAAATCTTGAAGCCAAACCATTAAATTTGAATTGAAGACTTCAATTGAAACAATAATTCTGATTTTGCAATTCTTATTTGATTTTGTTTCAAACCACAACATAGATCTTCAATTGAAGAGTTAAAATTCAAGAATGCAACAATGGAATTAAATAAAAAAACAAACATATATGGATGTGAAATTGACTGACTATATGAACACCTGGACCTAGAACAAGACACCATCACTTGTTTTGCATTAACCAGCAATTCAACTGTACCCTATCGAGCAATCTGTTACCTGCACAAGAACGATGAATACAAAGAAAATTACACACATATTTCATCCATGGTATGAAAAAACCCTGCTAAGCCCCGCCTTGAGACCCGCCTCACTGTGAGGCGCAGCTTCTGTGCCTCGATGCTCAATCTGTGAGGCACAAAAAATGAGGCGCGCGCCTCTACATCTGAGGCAAAAAAAATGAGGCGTACGCCTCATTTGAAGTATGTTTTTTTTTCAAGTTTTTGAAAAGAAATTAAAAAAGACCCTCTTTGAAAAAGAGGAGGGCCCATTTAAAAAGATATTTTGGGCCAAACAAAATATTAAAATATCTAGAATACCAAAAGGCAGCCAGAAATCCTTCTACACGGCGGCAGACAGAAATCTTCCTAGATGGCGAGAACTACACGGCAGTTAGAAATCTTTCCAGAACTAAACGACAACCAGAAAACTTGTCTTCAATCCTTCGCTTTGCTTCTATGTCTCTTTTCTCCTTTACTTTTGCCTTCTTCTAGTGACTTACAATTTAAAATTGTTTCACTTGATTTTGCTTGGCTTTTTTCTTGTTCAGTGCATCGTCACCAGATTGCACCTATTTTGTTCGTTGCATCTGTTTTGTTTGTGGTGAGGCTTACGCCTCAAAACATTTTGAGGCTTACGCCTCGCCTCATTACAAAAAAACACCTCGGTACCCGTTTACGTTTTTTCAAACTATGATTTCATCAACACGAATAATTGGAGTCGAGGAGCTACATTTACAAACCTGCAAATGTCGATCATTTTGCTTCAGGAACTGTGCCTCATAATATAATGCAGACGCACTTATTCTGATTCAAATCACTTGCCGGTTTCTTTACTGTTATGTCAAAAAAGATTACCTTGCTTAGTAAGCTGAAGATTAATAGAAGAATAAACAAAAGAGAGATATTAATCGGCCTGGAATTTTTTACCACTTTAAATCAAGCAGTAAAAAGGAAAAAGGAGGCAAAGAGAAAGTAAGTTAAATGATATATAGTCTGTGATCTGATCTCATTAGGCCATGAATATGGTCATAAGTTTTTCTTAAAAAGCAAAATCCATTGATACTTAATGTCATTCACTGAAAAAGATTACAGATTAGGTAAATCGAACCTTCCGATGCGGGTGGCTGAACCACTACATGCATGGTCGTGACTGCTCCTGGAATGTCGTATAATGGGCTTCTACAATCCTCCACAGTTCTGTTGTTTTCTAATATTCTTCCAGCGCTAATTAACTTGATGTCTTTTACCGTCTGTGGACCATTTTCTTTCTCTGCTCAAAAATGCATGCTTGGATGAATGGCTTAAACATTAAAAATATGCTAAAAACAAGCGAAAGCGACAAAAATATGTATGCCTTAATATACTTCCCAAGGCAGAGTTAATGCAATAAAATCAGAAAGTCAGAACCTGAGTTTAGGCTACAAGCAATTTGTTATTTTCCTTCGTTTTTCACATGCCCTCAGGTTGGGGCTGAGGGCTACTCTACGTGAGGCTGTTTCCATTGTAGGGGCGCAACAATCACAGTCTTACATACTTAAAATCTTCGGTGCTATAGAAATAATAAACTGCGAAAAATTCAAACCCCTCGAACTATAACTTTGTCAAACATTGGTTACAAGACTACTTTTCCCCTTCCAGTTTAATACAAACAGGAAAATGTAAGCTAGTGCGGAATCAACATTTATAGATTTTCACTATTTGACGGATCACCTGAACAAACATTGAATCAGCTTTGCGTAAAATGCTATAACCAGATCCTCTACAGGGCCACATCCAAAACCCGATCTACACAAAACATGCCAGTTTCTTTGGACTTTAAATTAAAACAAAACGAAAATCCTGTTCATCATTCAGCATCGTAATGACAAGTTCATTCCACAACAGGGATACTC